GTCGCCAATAGCCCATTGTGCAGCTCTTAGAACATTCTCGACTATAACTAATATAAAATGAGCAGTAATATTTTATTTAAATAGGGCAGAAATAGATTTCGAATTGAGTGTCCAACAAATAAAAAAGGGGCCCTTCCTGTCCTAGCGGTAACTCCACCAAAAGCTGTGTGAAGCGTGGAGGTGGTGGGTTCGAATCCCGTCGTAACACTGGATGTATTCTGCGTGATGTCTTTGTCCCGCAGTAGACTGATCATTAAGACACGGTTCCCATCAGAGCACCGAAGTCAAACATCACTGGCTGCGGTCAGTTTGCGGGTGGGTGGCCACTTGGATCAGTCTGCGTAGGGAACGAGGGTGTGCGGTGTGGGTCCTCGTTAAATTGTTCTACCGTGAAATGCTCGACTTCACGTGCAGGTCGTCGGGATACCGAAGCGGGGGCGTCATCCTCTCTGCAAGGGATCAAAATTGTGATGGCATGTCTTCGTATCATCCTCAGGGATGTTTCCCAGGCCTTCTCCAATAGCCGATTGTGCAGCTCTAGTGCGACGTAAATGAACTACAACAACAGCGTGATGTCCTTCTCTGGATTGTTCTATCTGTCCTTCTTCTAGGCAAAGGTTTATAAGCCTAAACTAGCACACAAGCCTGCAAATGTATGTAATTTCAATAAAGCAATAACCGATAAACAAATCCCAATTGAAACGCAGTGCAATAAGTAAAAGCAGAGAGCACGTCGCACTTTACTATACTCATACTCATAAACAAATCCCAGCCGTTCTTTGTGAAGTGTATCAATGTGTGAGTAAATAAAAGTAAAAACAATCGAATCCCTTCTAACTAATTAGCAGCTTTAAGTGAATTTCAAACAGATGTTAATGTTTAAATTCAAACTAAGAAGCAATATTGTGTTTTAGTCAGGTAAAAATACTAAAAGGCTGCAATTGACAACGTGAAATTTTGGGAGATGATTTTATCGGCACCCATTTTGACTGTTATTAAGTACAGCTTCCTCGGCCTTGTTGTTACCGGTGCCGGATTTTTAATTGCAAACACGGCTCTTACTTTGCGTTATAAGGTATGTGAAAGTTTTCATTCTTTGATTTAAATGTTGCGTACAAAAGATAGAATTGTTTTTATATTATCTTATTAGATTGGTTTTAATGTAACATCTTCGAGTAAGCTACGGTACGTTTTGAATTGCAAAAGATAAAATTGTTTTATACGTAATTGTACAAATATGTTACGTACAAACTGTTTAATTTTTGTATTCTGTTTCAAAATTAATAGAAGATAATAAATGTAAGATCTATTCTCTAAGAGAAACCTGTTCAGCATTAAACCATAATATCGGTACCTTGAATTATAATATAGTGCAAATTTTATAATTTAGGGCAACTTTCTTTTTGAATTTAATTATATTTCCATGGAATCAACTTTAAAACGTCTTGTAATAGGGTTCCAAATGAATACTCTATGAAGGTTGCAGAAAATTTGAAGCAGAGTAGAAATTGAATTTTCTATCATCGGCGGTTATGTCTTTCAATTTTGTGTATAATTTCAAGTGTCGATTATAGTTGTGGAGTTTGCTGTTGAAATCTTTACTTCGGACTTTCCTGGAAGCTCTACTTCAATTTCCACTCACACTCAATTAAATTTGCATCAAGTTCCGGAGAAGCATTAATTGATTAGATATAATATTTTTTGTAACGTAAATTTTTTTAACGCTATTAATTTAACAGATAATTTAATTGCTATTCAAATACTAATAGAAAACCTCTATCCACTCTTTTATAATAGAGTAGATAAGCAGATTTATATAAATTTCTCTAGAAGCATGCAATGCATATGCATCGATTTTCATTGTCTTTATCAAATTTACAAAAGTGAGAAAATATTGGCAAAGAAATAAAAAACCAAATTTAAAAAAGAATGACGTTATCCTAAGATGAAAAGATATAAAATAAAATAACTTTGAAAATTTTTTAAAAATTTCTAAGTTTTTTCAAGAAAAAGTAAAAAATAAAACGTTGAATGTATCTTTTAAGAATCGAGTTGATATTGTCTTAGATAATTTTCCACATTTCATCTAAAGCTTATCTCATATGGAGCGAGAATTTCTTATAAAATGTTTGAAGAAAGCATAGAAAAAGTCGGTGGTTTTTTAATAACATTAACATCAAATAAATCGCAAGGACCGTGATAAATNATAGGGTTCCAAATGAATACTCTATGAAGGTTGCAGAAAATTTGAAGCAGAGTAGAAATTGAATTTTCTATCGGCCGTGGTTATGTCTTTCAATTTTGTGTCTAATTTCAAAGTGTCGATTATAGCTGTGGAGTTTGCTGTTGAAATCTTTACTTCGGACTTTCCTGGAAGCTCTACTTCAATTTCCACTTACACTCAATTAAATTTGCATCAAGTTTCAGGGAAGTATTAATTGATAAGATATATTTTTTGTAACGTAAATTTTTTTAACACTATTAATTTAACAAATAATATAATTGCTATTCAAATACTAACAGAAAACCTCAATCCACTCTTTTAGAGTAGATAAGCAGATTTATATAAACCTTTTTTTTCTCTAGAAGCATGTGCAATGCACATGCATCGATTTTCATTGTCTTTACCAATAAAAAACCCAATTTAAAAAAGAATGACGTTATCCTATAAGATGAAAAGATATAAAATAACTTTTAAAATTTTTTAAAAATTTCCAAGTTTTTTCAAGAAAAAGTAAAAAATAAAACATTGAATGCATCTTTTAAGAATCAAGTTGATATTGTCTTAGATAATTTTTCACATTTCATCTAAAGCTTATCTCATATGGAGCGAGAATTTCTTATAAAATTTTTGAAGAAAGCATAGAAAAAGTCGGTGGTTTTTTAATAACATTAACGTCAAATAAATCGCAAGGACCGTGATAAATACCGCATCCGGTTTGCACCGACCACAGTGCTGACGTTAACTATACTCAGTGGTAGACGGATCATGCATTAGATGGGTTGCGCAAAATAAAAAATGGTTCACCCTGAATAACTTTTGATCTAATGTTCGGATCTTCATGTTCTAGGATTCCATCTTAATGGTTTGATGGGGTGACTTCAAATATGGTAATAGTTGCGGATGACATTTTTAGTTAAATCAGACACAAAAACGCACTTTCTCTGAAAAAACATACCTTTTCGACGGATTTGGATTTTTGACTCCCAAATTATAGGGGGTAGCAGCAATCTGGTAAATAGGGTCCCCATAGTTTGGTCAGGATATCCATCCAAAATTTGGAACCCCTAATGTTAATTTTATTTTTTCCGTATTTCGTTATATCTCGAAAATTTTCTAAGCGAATTGAAAAATCTTTGCACGCAGTTATAAAATTCGCCTATCCAAAGATGCAAACTATAAATTTTAGTAAATGTTTACTATTTTTTATTTTATATATCGAAAATTTTTTTATAAGGTATAAAAATTTTACGCGACATTAAAGTATCTATTTATATCTGTATTGTTTGAGGGAAATTGGTTGAATAGTTCCTGAGAAATTGAATTTAAAAAAAAATTGTATATTTAAAATTTGATTACTCAGGAGCTATTCAACCAATTTCCCTCAAATTTTGTATTTTGCCATGTAAAATTAGATACTTTACAATTATGCAAGAATTTATATACCTTACAATTCAAAAGTTTTGCTAACTGTTATTAAATAAAATAATAGTAAATACTTACGATAGTTTATTTTTTGCATGCATCTTTGGGCAAGCGAATTTTATAATTTTGGACAACAATTTTTCCATTAGCTTTAAACGTTTTCGAAATAAGGTAAAATACGCAAAAAATAAATTTTACGTCAGGGGGTCCAAACTTTAAATCGTTCTCTTGACCAAACTATGGGGGCCCTATTTCCCAGATTGCTGCTCCCCCCTATATTTTGGGGGTCAAAAATCCAAAGCCGTCGAGGTATGTTTATCAACTGAAAGTACGTTTTTGTGTTCGTTTTCATAACTTAAAATATGTCTTCCCTAATTAATTAGCATATTTGAGGTCACCCCCTCGAGCGATTAAGATGGAGTCCTTAGAACATGAAGATTCGATCTTTAGATCAAAACCTATCCAGGTTTTTTTATTTTGATCATTATACATTTCTGTTATGAGTCATGATGTTCAAGCATCCTCATACTCTTTGCAGATGGAATAGACTTTTCAAGGTTTTCCACACTTCTTCATTACCATGGTTTCTGCAAATATTGCTTTTACCCTGAGGCAGTAAGTTTCAGTGAAAAGTTATGGAGTAAAGAAAAAGCGAAATTTGTCGAAACCATAATAACAGGAATAGAAAAGTGGGAGAATCACACTACCTTGAGACTCCTTAATATTTACTAAATGCATAAAATTGTTTAATTATTTTGCTACATTTTAATGTAGATTTTAGAGAGAAGAAGGTAATTGGCATTTTTAAAAATTTTGAGTGAGACAACGTATGAAAAAAAAATGTGTGTGTTTTGGATTGTTACTCATAGCTCTTAAATCATTTTGATAATGACCGTTTAACTGTAATAGGGAGATTTCCAGTACGTAAGGTCTCAAGTAATTGGGTATGACCACTTCTAGTGCGTCAGTTCTGGTGAAATACGCTTGAACCCTTGAAAAAATATCAAACTTATGTCAGTGAAAATAAGAGATCTTACAGAAATTTGTTAGTTAAGAACCACCTCTAACTCATTTTAACTTCGACTACAAAATCGAAACAATTAAAATGGCTTTTTAAATCTACGGCATACGATTCAAAATGCTTTATTTTCGCAAAATGGCGGTTCTGTAAGAGGAAAAATTTGGTAAATTATAGATTTTGATGAATTCAGCGATTAAAAATGCAGCTTATTATTAAAAAATATTTTTTAAAAATATTACTGAACTTCTATTGATTACTTAACTTCTTTTAACTAAATTGCATAGTTGAAATTAATGTAATTTATAGTTTCAAATTAGAGAAAATGTATTTAGTTTATTATGGAACTAGTGCAATTAGACAATTGTCATAATGACAAAACTAAACAAAAACCAATAAAATAATTTATTGAATGAACCAATTTCTGTAAGATCACACGATTCATTTCTAAATTTCATCAATACATTTTTCAAATTCGCATTTCCAGGTTTTTAGTTCGAAGCACAGCTATAAAAAGCGTGCTTGTAACTTTGTCTTTGTAGTAACATAGCGTTAAGTGCGAAATCTCCCTTTTGAAAAAGCGTCGCCACTGACACCACAGTTGTTACAATTGTTTATTTTATTGTTTTCTTTTGCTGCGAAAACTATAAGATTCAGAAACGTGAAATTGCAACAGAATGTGAAGGAATACAATGAAATAAATAAAATTTATACTTTTTAATTATTTTAAGAATTATTAACTGGTAGGGGAAAAAATACCATGCGAGCATACCCGCTCTGCAGTCAGCAGGAAATCAGCTGCAGACCATTTTTATTTATTAGGTGGACCGGAAAGTAATGTCGTTTCAGCTCATTAAATAGTCTAGCTAGTCTTAAAACCCAATTCATTTTTCTTCCAATTCATTTTTGATCCGCCATTGAAAGGTTGTTGCTAACGTGGGTGCTAATTCTTAATAAATTTTTATTTAAATGAGTTGACTTTTTTTTAAAAAAAAAACTTATAAAACTAAAGACTGAAAGGAATCTAATGTCTTAAATAGGAAGATTGTCCACTTTCAGTCGATTATCTCAGATAAACTAGATTTTACTGATTATATTATTTCCTGATTAATATTTTAATTATTAATAGATTAATAATAAAAGTTTCAATACTTTGATCTGAAATTATATTTGATCCATAACTGCGATGTTTTAAAACTGGGCAGTTGTCAGCTCTAATAAAAGATATCAACATTTGCAAAACTCAAGAACACCGTATTGTTATCCCAAAAAATAAAAATATTAACAAATCAGCCAAAACTTGAAAAGGTGCTAATATCGAATAGTATCAAATATTTTAATACCTATACATAATTGTTAGAATCCTGGATCATGGTTATTTTATAGACAATTTTAGGATTAAAAAATGTTTTCAAAGAATCAAAATTTATGATTAAAAATTTTTTCATAAAATACAAAGTATTCACTCGCATTTGTTGAAACCCTTATAACTTCTAAACTACTTGTTCTCGAGAATGTCCTGGTTTTATTCAATTCAGCGTGAACAAATACATCAGAAACAATACATCACTTCCCTGTTAAGAAAAAATTCAATTTCCACCAATCACACTCATTTTCCTCGAAAAATGTGAGACGTACTACAGAGGAGAGTTTTCAGGCATCGTTTTCGAAAGTTCCGTTGTCATATGAAATGATACTTTTTTGTGAATAATATGCTATTTTTATGACTACTGAGAGTTTGTAACTGTTACTCGTGAATGTTAGGTCGAGTTTAGCCTATCTAAAGAAAGCATTACCTACGCTTATTTAGAAAATGGCGCACAACGTCAATATCTAGTAAAATCTAGTTTTGTGAAAATTAAGAGTTTATTGCTTATAAATAGGAAAGAATAAGGTAGTGATGGAGTATAAAGAATAGGGTAGTGATTTCGATAATTTGCATCTAGGCGGAAAATGTCGACAAATTGGCGATTATTAAGAACTTTTAGTAACTTTAAGAAATTTTAAGTTATTTATCTGTTCTAAAGCCCAGATAATTCTTTACGGTGAGAGTTTGAAATCATCGCATTGCTTCAAGTGTAAGGCTCTTAAACCACGGTTTTTTTTGTTTTTATTTTCCTTGGCGACAGAGCTTCGAAAAACAGCGTTAGAACTTTCTGTCAGAAAATACTTCTTCCAAATAAATTTTTTTTCTTCTTTTTCGTGCGAATTAGCGGATAATTTAAAATTCAGCAAGAAAAAAAATTTAACACCATTCCATGTTCGCCCTACATTTTATGCAAGTCGTCGGGTTACCAAGGCGGGGGTGCCATCCCCTCTGCAGAGGATCAAAATTTTGATGGCATGTCTTCGGATCATCCTGCCAGACCGTCGCCAATAGCCCATTGTGCAGCTCTAGTGCGACTTAAACAACAAAAATCTTTGCATGCGTAGATTTTTTTGGCTCAGTACACCATCTCCTACATTCGCCTCTTCCTTTTGTATGACTTTTATTTTATACTTTTTCAAATAAAATGGATTTATATTGGAGGAATATATATTTTTTCTTTTAGAGCGAAAAGATGGAACACTTACCTTACAGAGGGCAATTCTTTCCTAGAAATGTATCTTTGGATAGGAATTCCCTCTTCTGCTTGACTCATCCCAGAAAACCATTCTGTCTGATGCCAGCCAAGAAAAGAGAAAAACTCTTAAAGAGCATTTCATCGGGTGAAGTCAGAGAATCAGGAGTCGTAAGTTTTCATTCTCAATGAAAAACATTTTGCCCAGTAACGAATCATCTTTATATTGATTGTTTGTCTTGATCACTTGATAGGGATAACTTGACTCGGATCCAGGGCTGGATGACCCATTAGGCCAGATTAGGTCTCAATGATTAGGGGCCCATTAAAATGGATTTTTTTTTTAAAATAAATTTTCAAAGATTAAGAAAAACAATGATTTTTTACGTTGTTATTATTTTTTAATTCTAATTTAATGAAGTAAAGTAAGATTTAATTTATTATTATTTATTTTTATTTTAAATATGCTTTCTTAAATGAAAAGATATATAAATATTTTTATATTTGTATAAATAAAAAATAAACGAGAAAAAAATTTATTCTAAGGGCCCCAAAAATTTGAATGGCCCTAGGGCCTCGGTTTAATCCGGTCCTGCTCGGATCACATTGACTCAAGCCCCTTTTGATATGGATCATTTGATTCAAATCACTTAATACCAAATTAATAATTTTTCATTATGCTAATCCAATAGAAAAAAAAAACAGATTAATGAACACCTTTGAACAAACAATGACATATTTTTAATTTCATATTTTGCGGCTGATATTTTGTAGTACAGGTGGCTTTTTTTTTTGATTAAAGGAATGTTCTAGTTTGTTTATGTAAATACAAAACGAAATTTAAATCTTAGTTAAGGAAAAAAAATGCTATACCCGCTTAAACTATGCTATTTAAATGATTAAACCAATCTAAAAATATTTATAATGATTGTGATTGAGTTAATCAAATTGCAGATACTGCAGATCACTCATGCAATTAGCATTAGTTTGGAAAACTGATCACCATTCCTGATGGAATGAAATTTCATCTAACCAGATGACCAAGTGATTTCAAAACTAGATACTCAGTTTGTGCACAAATGGCGTGACAGTGCCATCTATTCAAATATTTTTTATTTTTCTTTGATTGCATTTTCATACTGCTAGTCATTTTGGAGACAACCCTTAAATCTAAATAATATTTCAGGTTCGCCCTTTTTATTGGTTCATTAAAGACTTTGTTGATTTTGCGAACCACTTTAAAGTGGCTCCGATATTGTTGGAACCTTCTATTCTTTTCTGCATGTTATCCACTCTACAGAAATACTTATTGTTCACAAACAATCTGCAGACGAAGATCCTGCACGGACCGCCCCACCATGTCACTTTTGGCATTCTTGAAAGAGAATCAAGAATATTCACTCATGTAAGTCTCATGCATTATATTTTACCCTGTTATAACAATTTTAAACCGTTGATTTGGTACAACAAGATGTTCGTTAAGCACCGCCCTAATAATGTTGGTATTTTTAGGAAACTTCTGTTAATAGATCGGCAACACTGGGTTTCGAGTTTTCAAGGAGTCGTGGACAACTCTATCAGAATGGCGAGTTTGTTGATACGAGTTTCTCCTTCAGCCGTCGAAACTTAACTGTGACTGTGATCGTGTTTTTCGAGAGAGAAACCTTTTACTGGCATCCGGGTTTATTGGAAAATAAATCCTCTGCATTTCTGCCTTTACAGTTTGCAAGAAGTCAAGCCTACGAGAAGTACATCTTAGTTTACTTTTCTTGCTTTCAGTTTAAAGATTGTTTTTTTTTTTTGCATTATGTAATGTTAAAATTATTCAGGAAGCTTTACTGGAAAATCTTGCTTTCAAGATTTTTAATAATTTTGCCAACATTTTTAAAGCCTGACCACGAAAGAGTTAGAACAAAGTGATGTTTCATATGAACTTTTGAATTGTTTACTTGTAGTGAAGAGAAGAAATAACTTTAAATCAAATTCCCAAAAGACATATAAATTTATAAAACACACTTAAATCAAATTTATAAAACAAAGATTCAACATAAACTTAACTAAAAACCAAAGCGTAGAATGCTGATAGCCCTGTGTAGTTCAAAACATCCCCTATTTAATAGTGTTTAATCTTTGTTTATATTTTGCTCCACAAGGGTATGACGTAATGACCACTCTTAATCTGTATTTAAAATCATTGTCTGAAATAAATATGCAAATTAATATTTAATTGAGAAGTCAAACTCAAGGCTGTTCCAAGAAAAGAATTAACACGGGAAGTTCATTTCTATCCTGTTTTCAAAAGGATCAATAATTAGGAATATTAAACATATTAGTTTTAGACATCAGTATACTTTTTACAAAACGGTGGCTATAAAAAATTTCTCGTGTTATAATTTTAAATAAAAACATAGCAAAACGAATATTTTACTGTCAGAAGAACGTCAAAAGTGAACCTCTTTACACTTTTCTGAGTACCTAAGTTATAGTTCTGACTATTTCTACCTATTATTAACAGGGCGGCCTATTAGAGTAATTGAAACAGTTTAAAACTACTTTGCGTTGAGACATTTCTTAGCGAATGACAAATACATCCCACTGGAAAATAAACTGTTGTAACTGTTGTTCAATTTCTATTGAGCTATAGAAAAAACACTAAAACTAAGTAATTGTTGGGAGAAAAAATTAGAAAAACTTGTTATAAAGAGAAGATTAACCTCTTCGATCTAAGTTTCAAATATTTTCAGTTTTTACATTTTTTAAAATTTAATGTTACAATTTAAACTGATGAAAAACCGACTTCAATGTTGGTAAAAAATTTTTTTAGCGTTACTTGCGTAAAAAGATATTTATCGAAAATCTAAACTGATTATTGTATACAATTTAAATATCTTTCAAAAACTGTCGAATTGAGTATAGATATTACGGTGAATGACCGAAATCTGGAGAATGTCGACTCTCACCGGTGAATGTCAACAACCACATAGTCGCTTTGGTGAATGTCCGAAATATTTGTCATATCTAATTTTATATTAATTTATTCGTTGATATTATTATATTTATTTGATATATTTATTTTATTCTATATTTTAATACTTACTGACCATAGATTAGAAGAAACATCAGTGTTTGGAGTATCGGGCAAATGTATACCGGGCAGTGGAACTTAACCTTAAAAAAACATCAGTGTAGGCTATACCGAGCAAATGTATACCGGGCAAATGTAAATGTATGGCCCGATACTCCAAACACTGATGTTTCTTCCAATCTATCGTCAGTAAGTATTAAAATATCGAATAAATGTAATTATATCCACGAATAAATTAATATCAAGTCGGATGTAATAAATATTTCGGACATTCACCAAAGCGACTACGTGATTGTCAACATTCACCGGTGAAAGACAACAACCACCAATTTCGGTCATCGATCTAAATTTGTCCGAAAAAAACATGAATTAGAGAATTAACATCATTCGGAACTGAAATCACATGGTTGTGCATAATTACGTGACTGCGCGTGGCGTGTTAACATTACAGCTTTAGGCTTCATTTATTGCAGGGCTGTCCAACTGGCGGCCCGCGGGCCGCATGCGGCCCTCCAACACATATTAAGCAGCCCACCAACTTCTTATTCAGGCTGATTGGCCTCAGTTTTCCCATTAAAATGTAAGCAAATTGTTTTATAATCCTTCTGTTCCATTGTTTTATAATTAATAATTCAACTATTAATTGTTATTGTATAAGAGGTAAGAGGTTATAGTTCAACTTTTTCAAACTGCGGCCCGCCAGGTGATCAGTGACCGGAATTCTGGCCCATGGGCTCTTTGCAGCTGGACAGCCCTGATTTATTGTAACCCTGGATCAATTTTCGGATCAGACTTAATTTTATGCTTGCAAGCGACGTGACATGATTATAATTGATCAGACCTCACGTTAAACCTGATTGGATGCTAAATCATGACATAAGCAAATGCAAAAGATTCATCAAAGGGTTTTGTCGCTTGCAAAAATCTAATTGAATAAAAATTTCTCGACTTCTGCTACTATCTCATTGAATAAAATGAGAAATGCCGGGTTTTTTTTTACGCCGGAAAGCCTGCAACTGAAAGTTTAGAAAAGTCAGGACTAAAGGTTGGAAGAATATGATTAATAATTTTTAATTAACACACCTCAATGTTGTTTAAAATTTTTTTATTGGAAGCTGACAAACTGTAAGAGCGGTTTAAAGCAAATTTTGAATGTTGTCACTTAAAATGAAGTAGTTTAAAATGGTGTAAAAATGCGTTTTTATCTGAAACTTATTGATTTAAGAAAAAATATTTTATTTTATAAGGGTCGTCGTTGAACAGTCGTTGAACCCAATTTTGGGTTTACGACTTCTCATGTTCAAAGTGTTATTTTGAACTTATCTCCTGGATCAGTATGACTTGTTATGGGAGCATGGAGGACTTTGTGACTCGACAGACTTAACGTGCATCAGTCACCATCTTCGGTCGGCGGGAATCTCTTGGCCCAGTGCCCTACCGACCAGACTATCTCGGCTTTAAGAAAAATATGAAAAAAATTTCAAAAAAATGTCTTTGGGAGGCAGCTTCCAAGCAGTGCTGCTGGTAGCAATATAGTAATGAGATAAAGAGCTCTGGCGTACGATGAAATTACTTAATGCTTTTGATGTGCTCCTTATGACCCTGTTTTTCAAAGTTCTTTCATCTTATAAAACCATAATTTAAGTGACTTACACTCAAGACAATACTATAATTTTAAACTATAAATAACATTTTGCAGTAAAGAATAAATATCCTTTTGACAAGTTTTTTTTTTCTCAACTAGATGAAAATTTATCAAAATCAATGAAGAGTTTTTAATTTTTGCTTATTTTTATGAGCCCAAATAATGCAGTTTCTAAATTACTTTGCAAATAATAAAAAAATTTGAATACAAACTCTTTTTCTTTTTGGAAAACTGCGGCTTTTCTTATTTCATATTTTATTTTTTATAACATATTTAAAAACACTAAAATAATAATTTAAAAATGTTTTTTTTTCTTCATTTCTTTCGTTCTTGTTTAGAAGAATCTCTTATACCTTGTGATCGCTTATTATTACTTTCTTATTATATCTTATTGTATTTAACTTTTCTCATCGTTACTGTTATTTTGGACCATTTTATGGGATTATCATTGAGAGCTCTGGGAAAATATAGGATCAACTTTACCTAACGATCATGAAAAACTTGCAAACTCACAGTAACATAATTTTTACAAAAAGATTGAGAGAACCACTGTGGCTCAGAGTGTTCGACTTCCAGCGAGGTAAAACTGCTTCGAATCCCAGCGATGGCTGGTAGATACGAATTTCGCATCGAGCTTCCACTGATCACAGTGGTGACGTAAAATATCCTCAGTGGTTAAAGTCCCCATTGGCGTCTGGCTGACCGTGGGTTGTTTTCGTGGTACTTTTCTTCATGTAACGCAAATGCAGGAGAGTTCCATCAAAAAGTTTTGCACTGAAGCAAATTTCTCCCAATACCTGATCCAGGATTTCCCTTGTCTTCTGGATTGGGTTCAACACGACGAGGCTACGGAGTTGTAAACTCAAAATGGGTTCGGCAGCTCAACGACGCTTATAAAATAAGAGAGACGAAAGAATCTTAAAAAGTGTGTCGCAAGATACATTCTTTTAATGACCCCATTTTCATTTCAGTTTCACGGCAGTTCCTTTCATACTTGAGGATGGTCGGCAGAGTGGCCTTCATCTGCCATCAGAGGTCACTCACTTCTTGCTTCAAGTCCAAAACTCTGAATTCGAAGAATGTTGGCCACTCTCTGTCAGTGAAGGGCTCTCACACCCGACTCTCTCTCGTGAACAGCTCTTCAAGAGGGCACTCATCACAATCCAAGAAATGAAATCAGTCCTCAGACCTTTGTTGGGCACATTTTGGCTATGGAACAACACACTTTCTGGTGAGTGAAGCCATTTCGTAGGATGATCAAACGTCTCACAGTCAGGCTGCGATTAGTAAGTGGGTGGGTGACCACTTTGATCAGCCTGTGCGAGGGTACGCGGTATCGGTCCTCGTTATACTGTTCTACCGTATAGTTCCTGCTTCACATGTCTGAGTTGCCGAAGCAGGGGCACCATCCCCTCCTCTGTAGAAGATCAAAATTGCGATGGCATGTCTTTGGATCTTTCTAGGGATGTTTCCCAGATCATAAGCCATTGTGCAAATCTAGTGCAACGTAAATAATGTACTACTATTACTAAACTGTATAGGGTTTATTTCGTTTTAAAAATCAAAATTTTTTTACCTCCAAAAAAGACTATTTTGTTTCACGGTGTGGCAAGGTGGATCTCTACATTTTTCGGACTGATCTAATGGAACTCATGAAAATCTTGCGTGTATTAAATAACCGTTTAATGTTCTCCCGCGTCATTTGATATGCCTTTGTCTTCTGTGTGAAACGTTTGGTACAGGGATCGATCAAGACAAATTTAGGCCCAAGGCCCACCAAATTTCCTGGGCCCCTTACGAAATATTTTGAAATTAAATTACTGAAGAGTAGTCCTAATAATGAAAAAGTATCTATTGAACTGCATGATTCAAGATAAACATTCTAAGAAATTTTGAAAGCAAACAATTGAAGATTATTTTTCTAAGATAAAACTTACGCATCTATAATTTAATGCAAAATATAAAAGAACAAAACAATGTTATGTCAAAATAAAAATAGTTTGGTGACCACAAACAATTGAAATCAGCGAGCTATAATTCACTGATTAGCTGAATTATTTTTTTATTGTATGCTGTAATTATTTTTTTATTTAGTACATAAACCAGCACGTAACTAGTCCACCTTTCATTAGACTTTTTACTAATTTTTGAGGCCCCTCAGAAATTGTTCCTATTGGGCCTCGGCTATAATCAGGCCCTGGTTTGGTAAGTTAACATACTTCATAAATATCAACAAAAGAAGAAAAAAAACAATGACATCAATTTTCATTTCTTTCAGGTTGGAACGATAACTGCGACATTTTTCAGAAGACTTTAGACTTTCATATAGCTGTAGCTCTCCCTGTTTCAGCTGATTGGAAAATGGATCTGAACAGCATGTTTATGAACAACGAATATTTACGTCCAGTAGAGTACGATAAATGGGTAAAACGATCACTTGCATTGCAAAGATTGCATTAACCCACAGGATACAACAAACAAAATCTTTTTAACATGTTTGTTCTCATACATTTAATACATATCGTACATCTCATTCATACATCAAGGGCAACTACGCTGATTAATCCAATTTTAGATTAATATTTTAGCACTGTACTCGTGCTACAATTGTACAATATGCAAGAACTGACTATTCTGATTAATCTTTTATTCTAATGATCGGGTTTTCACGTTGTATGACTCAATTTTAATGGTTTGGGGGGGGGTTGACTTAACGAATATGCTAGATAAATAGTGCAGAAGGTATTCTAAATTACGGAATCAGACACAAGAACGTACTTTCTCCGAATAATTTCTGTTCCCCGAAATATTGGGGGTAGACGCAATCTTCAAAATGGGATCCCCATAATTTGTTCAGGAGAGGGGTCAGTTTGGACCCCTTAATTTTAATTGTACTTTCTTCCATATCTAGAGAAATTGTTCAGCAAATTGAAACATTTTGCACTTAGTCATAAAATTCTTTTACCCAAAGATAATTCAATGCAAAAACTAAATTTCAGAAAATATTTATTATTTTATTTAATTATAGTCAAAAAGGTTTTGAATTGTAAGGTATACAGTTTTTTACATCCCTTTTAAGTAATTTTACATTGCAAAATACAAAATTTGGGAGAAATCGGTCGAATAGTTTCTGATAAATGAAATTTTAAATATACGGCTTCTTTGCAATTCGATTTCTCAGGAATTATTTCTTGATAGGATCAGAAATCCGAATCCGTTGAAGAAAAGTGTGTTCGCAGGTATTCAGAGAAAGTATGTTTTTGTGTCTGATTTTGTAACTTAAAATATCTTCTACACTTATTAATTAGCATTTTTTTAAGTCACCCTTTTGAGTCATTAAGATTGAGTCCCTATCATTAGCTCAAAAGTTACTTAGGGTGGCATATTTTTCATTTTGCGAACTATACAATGAAATGGGTATCACTGTTACCTCCAATCAGACGTTAATTTATCTCATATCATTCGCTTGGCAAAGGGTTTCTTTTTTTTTTTTTTGAAAAAAATAAGGGAAGAAAAGGAAAATATATTGAAGTCTATTGCATATCAAGACCAATTTTTGAGACTAGACGTAGATTAATATTATTCTTTGCGTTCAGGTGTTTAAACATTGATGCAAAATCTTGGGTTTTGATACTTTAAACTTAAAGAGAAAGTTAATAATAATGCAAATTTTTTTTCAAGCCAAGTCCAAACCCTGTTAATAGACTAAGTTGAGTAATGAAATTTGTTTAAATTGAATCTTACTTTGAATTCTCTGTTTCAGGATGATTTTCAACTTCACTTAACGTTGGATTGCTACGGACTGCGCATTCATATTACTTTAATTTATGCGGATCATGAAACAATGTGGAATTACGAAAGGGACAGAACAGGAAATTTAATAAAGTAAGAAATAACTGAATGCTGTTATTCACCTCCCGAAGGAAGGGAATTAATTAACTGATAAGTAAAACTATTTCACTATTTTTTATTTTGAAGCACACGTCAATTATACGTGAATTTCACCGGTAAATGTCAGCAATCACATAGTTGCTTAGGTGAATATTCGAAATATTTGTGAGATCCGTGTCGATGTTAGTTGATATTTTATTACTTATTTGATATTTTAAAATCCAATTAAGGTAGATAAGGAAAAGCATTAATTTATATATACGAAGGCAAATATATACGGGGGGAAAATGAAAATACGTAGCATTCTCTACACTTCTTTTTTTAAATAAGAAATCTTTGTTCGGTATTTCCTGCTCTGATGTTCTTCTAAAAGAGAGTGTCATTACCCGGGAGAGAGCTACCCGGCATTTAACATTCTGTAAACGTTTACCAAATAAAAAACGAAATTCCCTTTAAAACTTATATCAAATCGGAGTTTTACATCTAAAACTTGGTGGTTCCAGGTACTAACCAGTAATTACGTTAATATACACTAACTAATTAGTGCAGTAGATATTTAAAGCTTAAATATTTAAGATTGTGCTCAACTTCGCGCTCACGTCGTAGGGCTACCGAAGCAGGGGAGTCATCCCCTTTGTGGAGGATCAAAATTGTGATGGCATGTCTTCGGATTATCCTCTGGGATGTTTCCCAGGCTGTCGCCAACTCCCCATTGTGCAGCTCTAGAGCGACGTAAACCACCAACAACAGATATTTTAAGTTACGAAAACCATACGCTGAAACGCATTTTCTCTGAATAAACAAATTTTTTCCGACTCATTTGGATTTTGGACCCTAAAAATATATATAGAGTGACCGTTATCAGGAAAATAGAGTCCCAATAGTTTGATCACGAGAACGATTGCTAATTTGAACCCCTTAATGTTTATTTTACTTTTTGTTTGCGTATTTCGCCCTATTTCGAAAATTTAAAAAATGTTTGCACGTTGTTTATAAAATTCGTTTGTCCTAAGCTTATTCCATGCGAAAAATAATTTATAATAATTATTTATCATTTAATAATAGTCTGAATGAAGAACAATTAGCTCAATTTTTTCCTTTCCCTTATCAACAAACTTGAAATCGATAACTTCCGATTTCGTAATAGCATACTGTTAAAGATGTGTGTATAAATGCATTTGTTTTGTCTTCGATTCATTATAAATTAAAGGGAAGTTATTTAATTCCACGTTGCTTACTTCATTTCAATGAATAAATGAGATTTCAGAACGAACTGAACCGTAATAGTTATGGAACATTCTTCTTTATAGAATAGTATATATTTTTGTATCTATATAATACGGAGAAGAATAATAAAGAGTCATCCGAATTACTTGAAATAGTATCATTTGTGTTGATTATTAATAAATTTGTATAGTTTTCTTGTCAAGAATTTTGGTTTTTTGAATGCTTAATTTCAACTATAATTTAGCTATTCTGTTTTTAAGTTAAATAAGGTCGTTGCGTTTAAGTCATAGAAATTCATAGCGAGATCTTACAATTATAAAATTTTATCGAGAGGTATGTCATCTTAAATAAATGAAGGGATAATCTAATGTTTGTATTATTTGAGAATAAAATTTTCAATTGAAGAACATTTCAATTTAGAATTCTCCGGATATATAAAGCAACTAAGTGGTATGATTTTTATAATAAAAAATTTACTTGTAAATAATTTGTGTTCTAATTCGATGATAATTCCCTACAGAATGATTTTCTACGCTTATGATTAAGAATTTTAAGACTTAAAAGAAAAAAAATATGAAAATTTATTTCAATATGAGGAATTTTTAGAATAGTTTTTTTTAAACATAAGCATTCTTTATTTTACGTTTATAAATAATGACTTTTTATTTAAATGTTTTGATAAAAATTGTTGTCAAATTTTTTTTTTGCGAAATCTAATGATGTAACATTATGTGTTTCTGTATACTTTTTGCGTATTTTAATGTTTGAAGTAATATGATTCAGAAAAGTATGGAATATGAAGTTTAAATAGACCTTTGATATTAGATCATTAAATTTAATAGAGCGATTTCGCAGGCATTACGTTTTCTAATATGAAACATATTTTTTTCTGTTTATTTACAAACATTTTTCCGATGTGTTTAGGATGTTTCTTCCCTAAAAAAAGCAATTCCATTTTGTGTTGGACACAATAAGGAAGGAACGTTACACTGAAGAAATATCCAGTGCAACTGAAGATCATATTGTTCTGCTAACAGTCTCAAATAACAAAACTCCCTTGCATTTGAGAATAATCATCAGAGTTGTCATCCCAAATTTCTTTTTAAAAAAACTTAAAATATAGTTTTAAAAAATCTGAAGTTTAAAACACGTTTTAGTTTAGATAGGTACGAAGACCTATAGGTATTGTTCTGCACATGTCGAAAAAAAATGACCAGACCGAGTAAAAGATTATATATTCACCTGATTCCCGAACACGGCAGAATTTTAGTACTTGTAATGTTTACCATATTTTGCGAAATGCTTTACAATTAGTTTTCTTAGTTCTTTAAAACTTTCAATTCTTGAAAAGTGGAAGAATTTCGTACTTTCGCTCTACATTTATTCAGTAGCACTTGTCTTTTTTTTTCTTTTACAATTTGTTCATTAAACTAATAATTATAGTATGATTTTTTATTCGTATTTAAAAACATTTTCTTCCAGGAATAACTATCCAAACCTGCAACTTTGTTCTACTTCTGTTCTGGGACAGCTAGTTCACAAACCATGCTCCAATCAAGCAGCTCTTTAATATATGTACTTTTTTTTCTATTGTTATACAGTAATGTAATGTTTGTTAGATTTTTATGCAATTTTTACGTTGTTGAACAATGTTAGATGTTAAAAAAATATATTATTGTTTTTTAAGTATCCACGTTTTCTTTAGCCGATTCTGAGAATGTTATGGAGGAGAAAAAAAATCTCTCTTACGAAATATATCTCAGGCGTATACACTTTAAAATGAAAAAGAGAATTGAAAAATGATACGGATTTTCCAACACTATACAAGGTGTAAAAAGAAAAAAGAAGAGGAAAGTGGGGTAGGACCGGAAACTGAATTGTTTGGATGTCAAATTTAATCAGGATATTTATTGTTGTGTTCAATATATATCATCCTTCAAAACTCATGGACGTTATATAAATGACTTTTTATTCTAGAGAAAGTCAAATCTCCCGGTCTTACCCCAATTATTCGGTAAAGCTGGATACACATGTTAACTTTATGTAAAATTTAGAAAAAACTAGAATGTCAATGAAAAGGGGGAAGCATTAGTATGACAATTTACATATGTCTTACTCTAGGGAAATGGAAAGGACAATTATCCCGGGACTGCTTAGGGTCCGACCAAAATTCTTTACAAAAAATATAGTGTTTAGTGCCTATTATTTACCTATTTATTTGGTTTGAAAAAAAAAGTCTAACTCTCAGTAGCATTTAAAAAAATTTTAGGTCAATTCGTAAGAGTTTTTATATGTTTCTGACAGAGTGAAAAATAACAATATTAAATAAATCGAAGGAAATACAATGATAAGCCACGTTTCAAAATGTTCAGTAGAGCGTTTTTGTTAAAACCACGATTTCATAAAGATGTTTCTGTGTATTCAGGTGAAGTCAAATGGAAATTGTAAAATATTTGTTTGGAAATAATGCGAAGGAACAGCTTAAGTAAAAAGGTCACCTTTAGGTAAGATGAGGCTTTTCACTATCAAAGCTCTTCAGCTAAGAGAAACACGCGTTAAATGACATTTTAAAGAAAGAATTTGCAAAATCCAATTGGGAAAATTTAAGTAACTGTTTAGAAAACGCATTTTCTTACACTCAGTGAAAGTAGATTTTTTTAAAATATCACTTAACAAGTTCTTCCACTCAATTGTTTAAATGAAATTAATATGCAGTAAAATTTTTTCCCCTCAATTTTTTGTTGAATTGGATAGCAATGCTGTTAACTTAAAAATGCTTCATTTTATACACAAAATATTATACAAGCAGTTTTTGCACGTTTACATTTAAGCAACAATCAGCAAAGTAAATTTTACATAAATTCAAGAAATAAATGCAATGTGATTATCACAGTCAAAATTTGATCAAAACCTAAAAAGAATGTTTCAGTGTATTTAAAAAATTAATGCATTTTTTTCATTAAAAAAAAATCTTTCCTTAATTATAATTATAAAATTTGCGAAGAGATATTTAAGAATCAACCTTTAGACAAATTCCTTATTGAAATCTAAAATCAAATACAATATAATGTCCATAAGAAAACAGCAGGTATTCGGGTCATTGTGTAAAAAATATATATTTTAGAAGCACTGCACATAAAATATTTCAGAAATATGCTACTGTGAATGACCGAGGTTGTTGACTTCCATCGGGGAATGTTGACAATCACATAATTGCTTCAGTAAATGTCCCAAATATATACTAGTTCTAGTTAAGTTCCACTGCCCAGTATGCATTATTTAACTAGTACTCTGAACACTGGTGTTTCGTCTAATCGAATTGTGGCCAAACTCCTTAATAGTCGAGCCATTTTTCAAAATTTGAAATTTTTCGCGAGCCGCAATTAAATACATATTTAAAAGGTATTAATTTTTTTTTACATAAATTATATTTATTGAAAACGTATAAGTAAAAGTACAAAATATGTGTATTGAATTTAAATATTGAAAATTAAACACATTTATTTTACTTCTCTTGATAATTCTTTAAGATTTGGTGAATAATTGGTGACAGCACTTCTCAGTAATTCCTTGAGATGCTGGTTAGTTAATACTGATCGATGTTTGGCTGTCACGAATTTTAAAGTGGAATAAAATGGTTCACTTAAGTACATTTTTCCAAATATTGAAATAATTCGACAAGCAGCCTTTTTTTAATTCGGGATACTTCGATTCTGGTACAAATTTTCAAAATTTAGTAATTGACGTCGACTTATATTTTTAATTGCAGAGCTTGATCTTCTTGCATCTCTATTAATCCCAATTCTCCAGATGCTTGCTGTGTCATAATTATATTGGAAATGGAAAACTCACCTTGAATTGAACAACGTTGCACTTAGTTTTTCATATTTGTTGTCAGTAATTTAAAAGACATTTTGAAACACATACGGAACAATAATATTTTTTATAAATATCTATAATAGCACAAAAATGAAGAGGGGAACTCTGGGTACATTTATCTAGAGCCACAAATAATCCTTCAAAGAGTCGCATCTATCCTCAGCAGATATTAAAATATCAAATAAATACAGGGTCTTTATAATTAAAGTTCCATTTTGAAATGGCTATGGAAATAAAACTACCCGACCAAATGTCATCAAACTTGGTAAATGTCTATAAAAGGTCATGGGATTTTAGTTCCCGCAAAAAAAAAAAAAATAAATAAATAAAAAATTCACCACCAGTGGAGAATGGCGCTGTATGCCATAGTGTTAAANTAAAGACCAAGTATACTGTCAACGAATAAATTAATATCAAATCGGATATTATATATTTCGGACATTGACAATGTGATTGACATTCTCTTGATTTCGATCATTCCCGGTATCACATCCATATTGACACAACACAAAACTATTTTTTATTTAAAAAAAAAAAAATGGCTATGAATCTTAGTTGCACACGCTAGGTGTGATCAAATACTTACTCAGAAAGCATCATAACTATAAATTTTCAATTTTTTGCCTAAATATTTTCACTAATGTATCACTTTCCTTTATTGAGGTCAAACTCTTTCGTTTTGAACGAAATCGTGTCCTAGTATATGCTCCGAGCGAACATTTCGTCAGAGTGACGAAATAACTATCGTCACTTCTTGAGGGACTTAACAAACTTTGTAAAAAATTTTTAAACAAATATTTCGTCATTCTAGTTTCGATGGTCTAGTTTTCATTCTAATGTCACAATCCTGATAAATATTTAGTTCCGAATTTAGGAGATATTTTCATTATACATTTGAGAATTCGTGTTTCGCCACAAATCGCGTGATTGTGTAACGAAATGATTCTCATGTTAACGAAGTACAGCACAATGATTGTAGAATCGTCAAAAGTGAGAGCCTTAGTTATGAAAGTGTATTTATTTCATTTTATGTTATTTATTTGTTGCATAAATCATATTTTGTATTTTTTAAGAGTGAGCAAAAAAGAAGAGGCAATTTTTGTTTTCAGATTTCTTTTTTCAGTGATTAATCTTCAAACTTTGATGTTCGTTATTAGTATCAGCCCAAAGTGAAAAAAAAGGAAATAGAATATGTCATTTTCTTTGTTTTTTCCACCGTCTAAAACATAATTAATTTTAATAACAGTCATTTCACCTTTGTTTGGTATCGATTTTCATTAAAAAAAAATCACTTTATTTTAAATTGTATTTTTTATTCTTTTAATATGAAGACTTTATAAACGCATTACATTGTAAGTTTTATGCGTATTCATGAAATATAGACTCTTTTTTAATATTTTACATGTAGTGTGTTTAATTTAAAAGCTTCCCTCTTAACGTTAACTTAGTAATAGTAAAGTTATTTAAACAACAGCCATCATTTATTGCATCGATTTCTACAATTCATTTATAAAATGTGTTTTTTGTTTTAATTTTGTGTCTAAATTTGTATATTTATAAAAACATATTAAAAGAAAGTTCTGTGTATGCTTAACAAAAACAAAAATCTTTCTGTTTCTTAAATAGTACTTCGACATTTCGTATGGTACAGTAGAATACATGTATAGTCCACATGTATAGTTTCTAAAACATAACTATACCAATAACTTAGAAATTAAACCAAATTTCCAGGTAATTACAAGGTTTTCCAGGGGCTTACGAGCGCAAAAAAAATTAGTAATAAAATTCAAAATTATATTAAAAAAACTAAAGTTGGCAGCTTTTCATAGTATACTTTTTAGTACACTAGTCATTTTTTTCACTATCCATTTAGTAGAGATTGTAATAAAAGGAATTATATGTTCCGAAGAGCAGTGGTGGCTCAGGGGATAGAGCACTCGTCTTTCAATAAGGTGAACCGGGTTCGAATCCTAGCAATGGCTGGTCGATTCAAAATTCCGCACCCGGCTCGCATTGACCACTAGACAGATGACGTGAAATATCTTCGCAGTAGATGGATCACGGGTTAGAGTCCCTTTGCCGTCAGGCTAGCAATGGCAGGTTTTCATCTCCTTATTACACAAATACGGATTAGTTTCAGCAAAAAGTCAGTCCTTCACGAAAGCAAATTTCTCCCAGATTCTGAGTTAAGATCTAGGAGTTCTCTTGTCTTCTGGATTAAGTTCAAAATTACAAGACTACTGGGTTAAACATTGGTATTCGTAAACCCAAAATTGGGTCGGTTTTACAACGACTGTTATAAAATGAAATATAAAAATAAAATATATGTTCCGAAAAGTTTTTCATTAAAAGATAGCGAAAAGGTAGTCAAGATAGAATTGTATGTGGATATAATCTTATTAATTTGCCAAGACCTCAACATACATTTATTTAAATAACTCACTTTAACCTTTGTGCTAAAATTTATTTGGTGTTTCAGAAAANGTTTCTGAAAAAAATTATAAAAGGGGCACTGGTGTCTTGCCTTCGTCAAAGGGATAAATAAATAAGAATATTTTATTGTTATGTATAGTGTGCGTGTTGATTGAAGTAACTTCAAATGAATTCTAATAGCTAAAAAAAAGATTGCCTAATCACTTTTAAAATAAAAATGAAATTTTAGTACAATCCGTAATGGTTGAAAGTTAATCGTTAATGTAGCAAGAATAAAAGACCTATTTGTATATCCACACAGTGATTTGCTGTGATGAAGATACGGTTGCTATACAATCATTGAGAACCATTTTTCTTAGGGGTAGCATTTGCCA